CCCAGGTGCAGGAACTTGCACTTGGAAGACAAAAAGATGACTGGAAAATTCCAGAGAAGGGCATAGTTGCACACTCATTTCAAAATTTATGAGTGATGTGATAGAGGGCTTTCAGCGGTGAAACTGCCAAGCCAAGTACCTGCTCTCAGCTCTTGGATTTAGAGCTAGAAATCCTTCTTTCCATGCTTTTGGTGCTAGAATGCTGGAAGAACAGTGCCCTGTGCACACACACACCCCATTCCAATTCTGATGAAATGAAACCCAAACAATGCCTCTTGGATTACTATCCTAATTTTTAAGCATGAAATTTGACCCTGAACCCTCTGAGGTTGTGTAAGCTGTTACTTACTGGTGGTTTGGCAATATAATCCTGTTCCAGTTGTCGGCATTACGTCTGCGTATCACCTTGACACGGTGGCTCCCTTGCAGCACGCTGATTAGTGTGCTCTGAGTCTGTATTTAGCTGGAGTAAAAATCATAGCTCGGGTAACTGAATGGATCTCTGCATAAGAAGCTCTTTCGTTACTGACAGTTCGCTCCCCTTCCTTTAACCGTGAAGCTCAATAAATCTGTCGGGGTTGTGGAAAGACAGTCTGAGCATAGGACCTGTAAACTAGGAAATACCAGATTGTAGTGAAATCCTAACTAGATAGTTGTATAGATGAATTTACATTTTAAGACGTGGTAAGTATGAATGATTTCCATACTGTATTTTTTTCTATCACTGCTATAATCCATGAAGGAAATGAAGACTCTCTCATGCAAAACAGTGTTCTTGTGTCTGTAATGATCCCTCCCCCCTTTCTAGAAAAAGTCCAGAAGGAGCTGGATGCCGTGCTGTGTCCTTCCCATCTTCGGAAGAAGCTGCCTTACACCAACGCTGTGATCCATGAGATCATGCGCTTCGGGAGCATTGTTCTAATCACCATTCCTAGGGAAGCGGTGAAGGATACCACTGTTTTGGGGTATCATGTTCCAAAGGTACAGATATCCTTTATATCCCAGTGTGATCTTTGGCCATGAGTTAAGTTCCTTGCAGTCATGTTTGCCACCAGCCCCTTTTGCCTCCAGTTCAGGACAGATGAGCGTTGGGGGCAGCACTTTTCCACCACCCATGGCCTGTGCCTTTCTCTCACAGACAGCGAGTGAAAATGCCTGCCCAAAGCACACTTTCACAGCAATTAAACTAGTGTTCTGTGAGAGTGCTGCAGTCCTACTTTCCAAGAGCTTGTGATTTTCAAATGCTTTATAAACTCTTGTACTTTCCAAAGACCTCAGAGAAGACTTTTCTGGAATGTGCAGTGGTGTCAGCAGGGAAGGTGCAGCAGATTGTTAATGCCAGGATGTTGTCTGCCATGTGGACACATGGGAGATGGAATGTTTTGTTCCTTGGTGATGTCTGAGACAATACCCAGTGTCTACTCAACTTTGTTTTATTATTACCACCTCTCTGGCATCAGATCTGAAATATAAGGAAGGTGTTTCCCCACAGTTTCTGAACTGCTGCCTAACCTCAGATAAAAACCTTCTGCCATCTTCTTCGGCTTGTCCTGCTTTTCCAGACTTAAACCTCGATGTGAAACCTCCCCAGAGGCACACATGGAAGCACCTTCCTGCACACCCCTGCTCCATGGTGTTGGTCATTTCCCACCTCCACCTTGAGGAAGATAACTTGAAATTCTCTGTTTAATTTCCAGGGTGCTTTGTTTGTCATTTGTCAAAACCTGTCAAAACTTGACCAAAGTGGGAAAATCATTTAACTAGATTTAGGATAAGGTGCTAAAGAACTGTGGACCACCTTTTCTGTTGCATTTGCTAACAGAATGGGGAGAAAAAACTAGGAGATATAAAGAAATACAGCAGGGAAATTCCTGAACCTGAAATACTGAAGTTTCTTTTCACATTTATTTTCTGACGAAAAAATGAGTGAGAATAATTTTTTTTTTTTTTCCCCTCCTAATAAAGTAATCTTTCATTTCTGCTGCCTCTCCCTGTGGCCAGCAGTGTGCTGCATGATAGCTGGAGTCTGTTTGTGTCCTTTCCTTGTGTCCTGATGTGTGGGAGACAGAGCTGAGCCAACGGCATCTTCCTTTCAGGGCACTATGATTATGGTAAACATAGACTCGGCTCTTTCTGATCCGGAATACTGGGAGACCCCTCACCAGTTCAACCCTGGTCATTTCTTGGACAAAGATGGAAATTTTGTGATCCGAGAGGCCTTCTTGGCCTTCTCAGCAGGTAGGTGCACTGATAACGGAACCTGTTGGCGTGGGTTAGGCTGAGTGCGAAGCTCTGTTCTGTTTTCATTGCGGATAAGGCCAAAGAGAGTTTGATCCCAGACAGTAGGAGCACAGGGTTTTCCCAGCCCAGGAAAATGTCTGATTACAAAAATAAGTTGTTGGGTAATTGTATAAACCCTTGATCTTAGATTTTTGTGAAAGTGCAGGGGAGGTCAAAGTGAGACCCTAGAATTGCCAATAATTTGGGGATTTGGGTCCGTACATGGTTTTCCTCCATCATGCTCTGCACATGCCAGGTTTTGCTAGTGTGGCGGCTGTTCAGTAGCAGGCCGCTCTGCTGGAGCTCGTTTGTGTTGTATGAATAATTCAGCATGCATTGGTGGAGAAATCTGAAGCTGGGTCAGATGCATCTGGGATAGCCATGTCTTTCCTGGGGGAGTGTCTGGAGTCACTTTGTCACCCAGCGTGTGATTTGATAGAAGCTTAAACAAACAGAAACCCTTGGGGATCATGCCAGGGTGGAATAGCCCAGTTGTCGGAGCCCCTGACTGAGGTGTGGAAGTGTCAGGCTCAGGTTCCTGACCTAAACCATGCAGAAGAGAGATTTGAACGTGGGTTTCTCACATTTGAATGGCCTAACCACTGCACTTCAGGGTCTGTCACCGTCTCTCTCTAATGGGAAATTATATCCTGGACACAGTTAATTGATAAACTGGGGGAAGTTTTTGCCTTAAGAAGTTGTTTTCACTGAAAACATTATGTTGGAAAATGTCTAGTCAGGTGTAGAATGTCCTCTGTATTCTGATTTTTCACTGCTGTTAGTGAAGAAAAGTCAGCCTGTACGAAGTGGAAGCTGTGAGGGGACCTAAAGATGCTTCCTCGTCATTCTCACTTGGAACCCAGAGACTGAAACTCAGTTCATGGAATCGGGGAGTCCTGTTGATTAAGAAGTGTGAAACTACTGAGAATCTTCTCTGGTGTTTGTTTCTGTAATCTGGGCAGATTACAGGAGGAGGACTGCAGACATCTCATTTGCTCACTCAGTTCAATCTGAGGGGAAAATGCCAAATTCAGCAAAGACTTTTGCCCCTTGATGAGGCTGAGTGGTGCACTTTTGAAAAACTAGGAAGCAGGTGCTGGTGACAGACCCCTTCCCTTCTCCCTCCGCAGGACACCGGAACTGTCTGGGAGAAGTGCTGGCGAAGATGGAGCTTTTCATCATCTTCTGCAACCTGTTGCAGACGTTCAAGTTCACTCCACCAGAAGGAGTTAAGAAAGTCAACACAGACGTTGTGTTCGGGAGCACGATGAAACCCCATCCCTACCAGATCTGTGCCGTTCCTCGCCAGGTGGCAGGGTAGTACAGATAGGAGAGATTGCCACAGGTTTGCTAGTGTGCTGTTCTTTTGTGTGTCTTTCGTTTCTAGCTCAAGTTCAGTGTGAATCTATCCTGGTTGTGTTGTATGTCTGGGAAGCTGGCCTTGAGTAATAGTCTGGTTTTCCTGTGTTGGAAGGCTTCTGTCCATTTTTTTTCTGCTTTATTACAAATGAAATAAATAGAAAATTATTACGGTGTCTGGTCTTACGAGAAACTCAACAGGAATCTCACTGGAGGGAGAAGGAGCATTGAAGCCAGGTGCTGGGGGCCTTTCCCCTCCTTCTCATGCCTTCTCAAATCTCGAGCGGGGTGTAGAAATGCTCTTCCCAGAGGTGGTGGCTCTGGGCATTGCCAGAGCCCCTTGGTGTGGTTGCGTGGGGGAACGCGGAGGGATGCCGGAGCTAGGTGTGAGCCGGCTGGTTTGGCTGGGAGCCCTCTGCAGACGGTAGCTTGAATCCGGAGGTGACGGGGCTGCAGCAAGGCGACCCTTCGTTTGAGCGCGAGGCTAGTGACTCGGGCTGCAAGTGAAAGCAAACCCCTCGTATTCCCCGGCGAAGAATTGCAGAGGGGACCCTGCTGCTGGTGAAACAAAGTGGTGTGGACGGTAATGGACCGGTGGGCTGACCTGAAAACGTTGTGGGTTTGTTTTTCCTGTATTGCTGTAGTGTGTCCGAGAGGCGTTGCCGTGGGCAAGGCAGGCCTGTTGGGTGGCGAGCTCTTCACGGCAGTGGTGTGCAGCAGCCTAGGTCAGCTGTGTCTCTTTATCGATGCCTGAAAGCACAGTTAAAGGGACTGATGGCAGTCTTGGGAAGCAAAGCTTGGTGCCTGCAAAGGAAGGACCAGGTGGGAGAAACTGATTTGTTTTTTTGTTTTGCCTCTTGCAGCACCTTTCTTGTATTTTCTATTCCTTTCAGTTCTTCCTGCTTGGGGTTGTAACATTTGTTGGGAGTTGGATTAAAACAATTCTTAGAAATACCAAACTCAAGTATAAATACACTGAGGAGATCTAGAAACATATGAGAAGAAAACTTTGTTTCAGACAAAGAATGTTTACTCTTGGTTATGACAGTAAATTCTACTTGGGTAGACAAATCCCATCACTCAATGTCCCTTCTTCTTCCCCCAGCTCTATGTGCTGACCATGCCGTCATATGATGTAGAACACCCCTTTGGTCAGTGGGGATCGGCTGTCCTGCTTGTGTCCCCTCCCAGCCCCTTGTGCACCCCCAGCCCACTCGCTGGTGGGGTGATGTGAGGAGCAGAAGAGGCCTTGACCCTGTGTCAGCACTGCTCAGCAGTCACACAGACATCCCTGTGTTATCAACGCTGTTTCCAGCCCAAATCCAAACTATAGCCTCATGCTAGCTACTGTGAAGAAAATGAACTCTGTTCCAGCCAAAACCAACATATTGTCTACCCCTTATTCCACATCATTTACGTCATGCTTGGGTCTCACAATATCCAACACAACCTCACCTCCCTCTTCCCACCCCTTGAGTTACACGCGGATGTCACACCCCTAGTCTGTGGGCCACCCCTGTGGGATGTCTGGAACGTGCACTGAGTTCATTAGCCCATGGCTTTGGGCTCCACAATCACTCAGGACAGGTGAGGGAGCGTGTCACGTGGAGTTCCTGGGCACCAAAGCCAGCTCGGATGGGGTCACTGCTGTGCTGGCACTGTTTCTTGTAAAGCTGCTCCTTTGTTGGTTCAGGTGGTTCCTGCTGCAGTGATTCCTATAACGTGCAACTCAAATCCTGTGTTACAGCAATTTAAAGGTATTCCCATGACAATCGCCACCCCTGGTCCCCTTAGGCCAGGTTCTAGGGTTTAACATTGCAATGAACTCCTCTCCTTGCTCACCGCCTGGCTAGAAATAAGGATTTCTTGCTATAGTAACTCCTGTAACATGCAACTCAAATCCCAGGTTACAACAATGTAAAGGCTCTATTACAGCCAAAACGAGCTCAGATGGGCATCTAAAGTTAGCATGTGTTTGTGCCAGTTCTCACTGCAATTGTTTATACCTCATGTTTGCGTGCCTCTGCTGTCCTATTTCTCTTCAGCTGCTGATGTTCATCTCTCTCAGATGGTATCTAAAAAGATGTGCTTTCCTAGCATCACTTCTCAGGGTAGGCAGCAGGCAGGTGGGATAGGGAACGTGTCCTTAAATCCTTTTACTGGCCTGGGAGAGTGAGCTCCCGCACTCGCTTGCCTGGCAGACACCCCAGCAGCTCTCTGCTTTGCGGGTGGGAGGTGGAGATGATTCCTGAAACCGCGTCTGACGCATGGGACATAGGTAATGTGGCGCTGACAAGCTTCCCTGAGGCTGGCGGGGCACAGGCCACAGCGTGATTGGGTTCAAAAGCCTAAGCAAAGGGCAAAGGATCCTTTTTTCTGTGAGCTGAAAGGGAGAGAAAAGAATGGACCAGCAGTTTGGGGAGAGGGAAAGGCGAATTCGCTGGCAAGAAGGATACGATTCTGTTCTGCTGAGCTGTCAGCCAGCTCTAACCCCTGCCTCCCCAGGCATTCAGTTCTCAGGGAAACAGTGGCAAATACACGCATCTTATCAGGCTTCCCTCTTCCCTGACCCCCAGCACCATCTGGTAGGAAGAGGAAAGCAAGTTGTAGCCCCTTTAACACCTTCTCCTAAAGACAGGCTGCCTTTCTCAATGCAGTTGGTGTCTAGGCTGTGGGGTGCAGGCACCAGAACGCGCTGACGCGTGTGGCAGAGTTGGAGTGAGCCTGGAGGGACGGGGGAGATGCTGAGCAGGCAGACGGAACTGCTCAGAGGGACGGAGGGGTCAGGTGGGGCTGCAGGTGGGCAAGGCGGGCGAGCCTCGTGCCGCGAACACATTCGCTTCCCTTCTCCCAGCGATACGTGTGGAATCTGGTTTTTGGTCACCCCTTGAGAGTAACGACACTGGGGAAAGGTGTCACCGATAGGTCTTGCAGTCCATGTAGCGTAGGTGCCCTGGGCCACAAACCGTGCGGAGCCCAGCAGAGACCGTGCCGTTCAGGACTCGTGCGGATCCTGGGCTGATCCTCGCAGTCTCCCCCTGCCCCTGTCCAACGCGGGTGGCTCTGCGGGATATCCTCGGAGATCTGGAGCATGGCTTGTGGTGGACTTGGTCCCCGTGTCAGGCTGACACCTACCCAGGTGGGCTGGGAGCATGAGAATCTGCAGGATATCTGCAGGATAACTGCAGGATATCTGCAGGATAACAGCTGTGCCCGTGGCTGTGGGCTCTCTGGGAGGTGAAGCCGTGATACCAGCCTCGATGGTGCCTCTCTGCGTGCAGGAGTTGGGCACCTGCGGCTGGTGTTTTTGCGCACCTCCGGGGTGAAAATCCCAGGAAGTTAAGCACATATCCTGGATGCCAAACAGCCAGTCAACCAGAGCAATTTTCGTGACAAAAATCTGCAGGAAATCACTGTCTATGCTGTCTTTTTTCAGCTGTGCCAGCTCTGTAAGCCTGGCACGTGAGCCACTAGGCCATCTAGATGACTTCCCGGAGTGCCGCGTGCTCCCACCCAAGCCAGATGAGCTGACACTAAGCCAGCGGTGTTCCCGAGCCGGAGCTGAGCCATGCCAAAGCTGTGTTGTCCCAGATGACACCCTTTGCAGACACGTCGGCTCTACCTCCATAAGGGAAAAAGCAATCCACAGGTCCCAGATGGAGTTGCTCACTTGCAGGAGAGCACTTGTGCAAGCAGCTCACAAAGGCAGTTGCGTGTCAACTTGACTCCTGCTGCAGGCGATACGGTGGGAATTAGCTGAGAGGCAGCTGGAAGGGGGTGGAGGAATTTTGCTTTCTACTTGCTCACAAAGCCCTTGCAGCCCCGCTTATCTGTGCAGCTGAACAAGGAGGTGTTATGCCACTCTAACCATCAAACTCTTGTTACCCAACGACAGATTAGAGTCTTTCTTTTGGTTTATGTGCTTTAGGCACAAAACTGAAAGGTCCAGCCGTCTCCCAAATTGCTTACAATTTAAACCATGAGGGAAACTAAAATACTAAAGGAATAGCAGAGAACATCATGCTCAAGCAATAGTACGAGGTGGGTGAGGGAGCAGTGCACGCGGTTGATGCACGTGCTGGCTACTGATGAGCCTCAGCTTTTCGGTAATCCCACTGGCCTTGGGTGTGTAGCCAACCCCCAGGGAAAACTTTTATTTCCCTGTTCTTGCAAGAGGCTTTTTATGAAACCAGGACTGTGGGCTGGGACTTTTGTCACAGCGATTGTCATGACACAAGGAGGCATATAATTACCCTGCATTTTGTCCCCCTTGAAGAGCCAATGATTGTCAGACTTAGCTGCAATATAATGGAATGATGTCATATATGCTTAGAAATAAGAACGCTTCATTCTCTGGGTTGGGGAAGTAAAGTGATAAAGAGGGGAGGACTGAGAGACACCGAAGCCTCAACACCTTTTTTTTTAGAGAAGTACCAGCAAAATAAGATAAAGTGGATCTATCCTCTGTCTGTGCAGCAGCTTTTCGGAGACAACGTAGCTTCATAAATCAGAAGTGAAATGTTACCTGTAAGTGCGATGCTGGTACTTCTTGTGGTATCTCTGCTCTTCCTGCAGTTCCTGAAATTCCAATGGATACGAAGACAATTTCCTCCTGGGCCAACTCCATACCCCTTCTTCGGAAATCTGCTGCAGATGAAATTCCGAATTCATCACGAGCTCCTTAAAAATGTATGTATTTTGGGCAATTAATTAATGGACTTGTAAGATGATTGAAAAGTAAATGTGAGTGTTTAACATAGTTTTACTTTGAGAGCTACAGAGGGATTTACTCTAAGTTCCATAAATTTGAAAATAGGTGGGGATCATTAAAATACCTGGCTTTTGGTATGAAAATTTCCAGCTTACTAGGAAACATGTCATTAAAACCTGACGTGCAGATGAACAATGCAATACTGATGATAATATTCCTGCCTTACACGTAGGAAAAACATACATTTTAAAGCAGAGTCTTTAATTTTGTGCAGTCTTTTGCATATCAGTGTGTGTCCTGTTGTTACGCTGGCGGTTTCTAAATATCTCATGAAATAGCTGCTGTGTGTTTCCAGGATTGAAAGGGTCAGTTTTTAAATATTTATTCAACAGATTATTTCAAAATATCTTAGAATAATGGTTTGGGGTTTTTTTCTGACATACAATTTGGTCAGATTTCCACAAGAGATTTCAGTCTGCTGAGTCTGAGTTTTTAATGAGCTGAACTAGTTCAGTGTGCCTATGCTCAAACTGTTTTCTAAGTCCAGTTGTAATGCACAGCACTTCTAGGATTTGTATCCTAGCGTTTTGTATTCCCCATACATATGTATTAAATATCTGGTATTTAAATATGTAAGTAATAGCACCTCACTTTCACTCTGTTCTCAACCTTCCTTTTCCCTGGTTCTTCCCTGTCCTGCCAGTTCTCTTCTTCCAAGTTGCATGTTTCGAGGCAAAGTGATTTGACTCCACAACATAAAATCATAGCCGGTGCATGTCTGTGGTGTTTGCTTCTATTTCTGACCTCTGGAACCTGAAGAGTAGTATTGCTCATCCCAAGGCTTCAAAAGCCATGGTTTAATCCTTAGAAAAATGAAGTTGAAAACAGATGTGCAAGCACATGCGTGTAAATGTTTTGCTCAATGTGCATATCTGCTCCCTCTGGTTTGTGCCCAGGCAGCAACATTTTGTACTCCGCTAGTCCTGCGTTTGAATTGTAAGATGTGATAAATAACATCACAGACGTTGGCAGCCTGACATTTTAGGAACATCTGGATCTTTAGTAAGTGAGACTTTGGGCAGAAACCTGACTTCAAGCTGTACGATATGTAAGAATAAGTTTGATTCTCTCTTCTCCAGGCCAGTCATCGTTGGGGCATCTGCCAAGGGCAACGATCTTGTTTGTCTTGTTTGGTTTCAATGTACTGGTTCTCGCCCCTGTTGTTCTGATGCTGCTTTGTTCTGCAGATGGCCAAAATTCATGGTAACGTCTTCACCTTGTGGCTTTCAAACGTTCCTGTAGTTGTCCTGCAAGGGTTTCAGGCAGTGAAGGAAGGACTGACTGTCCATTCTGAAGATGTTGCTGGAAGGCCAATGTGCAATGGCTTTCATATTTTGACTCGTGGAAATGGTAATTATTATTTTCACAAATTCCTTTTTGTGTGTTCTAACCCTGGTTTTGGAAACTGATTTAGAGCCTCCAAGTTCTTAATTTACAGTGGAAAAAAGGTTAATATTTTAATGAGCTTTATGAACATTTTTCATGATTCTGTCAGAACAATAATGGCAGAATATAGCTATAGTAAGAGTTTCTATGCAGGGATAGATGACTAAACTAGAAGAGAGGAGAGGAAAGAGGAATGCTGCTGGACTGCTGGCAAAAATTTGGAAAAATTAGAATAAAAGAGATGCTTCTTTGACACATTCACTGTATCATTTCATTAGTTTTTAAAGCTTTAACAGCATTTGTTCATTACGATCCTAGGTGTTATGTTTTCTAATGGTCATCTCTGGAAGCAACAGAGGCGTTTTGGACTTGCAACGATGAGGAAATTGGGAGTAGGGAAAAAAGACCAAGAGTATCGACTACAAGAGGAAGCCTGTCACCTGGTGGAGTACTTCCGAAAGACAAACGGTATGTGACTCAGTACGTGGGTCAGTCTGTGCCATGGGTGATTTTGCTGAAGAATGGGTCACCTGTAGCTTTTGAAACTATTAGATTACAAAGATGGATTTAAAGTGTACCTGCAGAGCTGGGTCTCAAAGGTCTGTATTGTATGATCGGCGTGAGACACTTCCTTGCAGAAATGTGTGTGGAACCCCTCAGTATGAACTTAGAGCTGAGACTCCGTGATCCCTCTCTGTCGGTGTTATCACCTCTCAGTTCTACGTTATTCATGGTCACAGAACCAGGGTAACAGCAAAGAGTCACAACGTGAGTATCGACACCCCGTAACCCTCCGCAGAGAAGAAAAACAAGGTGTGGAATGCCAAAAGCTGTGGCCAAGGCTGCACAACCCTTGCAGAATTCTGCCCAGGTGGTGCTGCTGGATAGCGGGGTGAATCTAGAGGTCCGCTCAGGTATTCTGTTATTCAGGTGTAAAGGATATGAGCAAAGAGTAGAAGGCGGTTTTCTTCTCAACTCACCTCCTTATTCACACAGTGTCTCAGCAGAGCCTTTTTGTACCCTGGTTACTGCCAAACATGAGCGCTACTGATGCCAAGGTTCTGTGAAATCTGGGTATTTTTACAACTGCTGTTGCTGCTACTCATTTCACTACCATTCCTACCAGCAGTCTTGCCTTTTTTAAACCAACAGTGTGCTTTAGATGTCTGAACTTACTTTTTACTCAAGCCTTTTACCAATAAATTGCAATTTGCCATCCAGCCATCTAATTAACAGCAAAGGTGTTTATAAAACATTACCAGCTCTCATTTCACGGGGAAAAGCAGGAACAGTAAGTGTTAATGGTGAATGCTGTTCACTGTGTTCACAGGAAAACCTCTGGACCCCTCTATGCCTGTTGTTCAAGCTGTCTCAAATGTGATTTGTTCTGTGATTTTTGGACATCGCTTGTCTAACGATGACGAAAATTTTCACCGCTTGATTGAATCCATTGATACCATAACGGCATTTGCGAACAGCTTCTCTTTTTTTGTGAGGAAAATGTTTTTCTTTGTTTGTTTGTTTACTTTATGTAGATAATGACAAAGGCAATGTGCTTGTTACTTTCATAACAAAAACAAATACTAGCACACCTGAAATTGCTGGAGTAGGGACTGGAACAGTAATTCCAGATGCCTAGTTCAAAACTTGTTTCAATTGTTTACACTTCGTCATAGCACAGAAATTTCCCATGTCTGGTGGACAGGGCTGGAAACATACAGGTTTGCTAATGTCTGGGAGGTGTACAAAGGACTTGCCTGCAAAAGCGCTTACCCGCACCACTCCAGTGTTTGAAACTGTAACTGAAACTCAGGGGTAAAACACAGGTAAAAGTATCGGAAAAAATCTGAAATAGGCTTATCTTAAATTCTGTACGACCAAGTGACTTTCTTCACTATACAAAATCATATGACTGTCAACAAATGTTAAGAGTGATATTGGTAATAGCTTGTGTTGGAAGGGACCTTTCAAGGCCATTGCTCACTGCAGAGGGGGACATCAACTAGCTCAGGTTGCTCAGAGCCCTGTCCAACCTGACCTTGAATGTTTCCAGGGATGAGGCATCTCCCACCTCTCTGGGCAACCTGTGCCAGGGTTTTACCACTCTCATCCTAAAAAATTTCTTTTTTATATCTAGACTAAATCTACCTGCTTTTAGTTTAAAACCATTACCTCTTGTCATGTTGCAACAGGCCGTGCCAAAATGCCAGTCCTCATCTTTCTTGTAGCCCCTTCAGGTACTGGAAGGTGCTATAAGGTCTCCCCAGAGCCTTCTCTTCTCCAGGCTGAACAAGCCCAACTCTCTCAGCCTGTCCCCATAGCAGAGGTGCTCCAGCCCTCTGATCATCTCCGTGGCCTCCTCTGGCCTCGCTCCAAGTGGTCAGTATCCTTCTGATGTTGAGGGTTCCATGGCTGGATGCAGCACTCCAGGTGGGGTCTCACCAGAGCAGAGTAGAGGGGGAGAATCCCCTCCCTCGACCTGCTGGCCACGGTTGTCCTGGTACAGCCCAGGATACGGTTGGCTTTCTGGGCTGCCAGTGCACACGGTCTTTACTACTTCCTTCACTACTGTTAGCTAACTTCGTAGATGCTTAAGTAGAGCAACTGTTTCACGCAGAGGTTACATATCAAGAAATTGCTTAATGGCAGCTTTTTCCAATAGTTTTGGCAGCCACACCTGTACCACCTCCGCATGTCCTTATGAGGATTTAGTAACACACGCTGGAAGTCACTCTCCTTTAGCTGCTGGATGGCATTTGTCTCCATTCAGGACAGCAGCTCCTAACATCTGGTCCATTGGACGGAAAGAATTGCTGTCTTGCTTCTGTGACTGCAGTGGACCAGATTACCCCGACCCAGGACGGTTCGTGAATGGGAACCACAGTCCTGCGTACAGCCAACAAGGCGGTTTGCAATGTACGGGGCAGCCTGCTTCCGCAGAACTCCTCTGGCTTTGCATCTTGCATGAGTTCTGCCATGTCTTACTAACCAGAAACGGCTGTCGTCAAGGTCCTCAAGAATTTGAGAATTTATTTGATACTTTTAGTAAAAAAAAAAAAAAAAAAGAGAGAAAGAAATAAAATAAAGTTACTTATGACTTTCTTTCCCAAAAGATGCAGGTGGAATGATTCCTAAGCTATCTTCTAATCAGGGTAAACACAGGACCAGCTATTTCCAAACTGCTCTCAGTAGGTTTCTGTATAAGCTGTTCTTAGAAACTCGTTTTAGTGTGTCCACAGCTAACAAAACATCCTGGTCCAATATTTCACTCTGCCCTGCTCTCCACGGTGCTTTCACAGGGATGTACCATCCTGTAACTATGGTCTGTACTAACCTGCTTTCTGGGTCAGCGGACAGGGTAGTTTTAAGCAAAGTTATGCAGTAGGATGAAGAAGAAGTACAAGCCAGAAACCTGAGTAGGTGTGTGGGAAGATAAATCGTTGTCCTGCAGCTGCCATTTACGTAGGTGGGCTCAAGAGGTATGACCTTATGCATCATTTAGGCTGCAGTAATCCTGTGAACTGGAAGGACATGGTGCAATCTGTAAAAAGGGGAAAAAAGGAAGGGAAATGACTAGAGAAAATTCTGCTCCAGGGGAAAAATGGGATTAAGAAAGGCTTTAAGGAACCATGGGATAGGCACCATCCCTTCAATGTAATGATGAAGACGCAGTCACCAGTGTCTTTCATTTGCTTTTCCACTACCCAAAAGCCTGTATTTAGATTCAAATTTACCTTGCTGATATCTAAAATATCTCTTTTACAGGTGCATGAACTATTTCCCTGGTTTGCAAACGTTTTCCTAACACCACTTAAAAAGTTTAAATCCAGCGTAAATTTTGTGAATGGTCTATTAGCAAAGGAACTTGAAAGCCACAAAGAAAAAGAAAAAACAGATGAAAATCAAGATTTTATTGATTACTATTTGGATGAGATAGCTAAAGTGAGTATCTCTGAACTCTTCTTGCGCTCCACTAACTGCAGGGGATTTTAAGTGCTCCGTTGATTATAGTGATGCCTAGCACAAATCTAGAAGTATGCAATTTCTCCATAGAAAAGCTTTTGAGGGTAGATGAATTTTAAAAAGCTGACACTAAGAGATGGCAGGAGGAGGATGAAGTAATCATGTAAGTAGATTTACAGGTAGATTATCTATAACCGCAATAATGATGGATCTGCCTATGGATCAGGTACAACCAGAAATTACTTAGGGTGGGTTTTGCAGCAGAAGTAGGAAGCCTGTGTGATTAATAACTTTGTCTTGGCTGAAGAACAAAATGTGTATGTGGATAGGATAGGTTGACAAATGTACTGGAGAATATTAGAACTTGTCTTCATATTATTCAGAAAGTTTTATTTTCTAGCTCTTGAATTTTTAGGTGTTTTTTCCACTTTGGATAGTAGTAAATATTCCTGAGATGCAAGGTGGTTTACTTATTTTTTGTGTGTGTGCCATAACTTGTTCTTTCCAATTCATATCTGCAGACTAAAGGAGAAGCTGATTCTACTTACGATGAAGAAAATTTGATGCAGACTATTTTTGACCTCTTTCTGGCAGGTACAGAAACTACAGCCACCACTTTACGTTGGGCATTGCTCTATATGGTGGTTTATCCTGATATTCAAGGTAAGCACAACCAAACAGTTCTGCAACTTTTTAGAAATTATACGTGTTCAAGTAGTAGTAGAGCTTGTTCAAAGAATAGTAGAGGAACTAATTGTTAGGGTATGGATCAGATGAACTGCATGTATCTCTTCCTTGTTGTATCCTTTCTAACACAGAGGCCAGTCATTTTAAGTTTCATTTTTTAAGCGGTCTCTACCGAATGCAGGGTGTGACTCACCTGATCAGGTGGGGGAGTCTAGTCTCGGATGAGATAAATTGCACTGTTGCCTTTCCACTGACAGTAATGATTAGATTTCCCCTGAGGTCAAGGCGGAGTCTTCAGGTCATTCTTCTCAACCCTGTTGAGACTGTTACTCTTTGACATGCTCCTGGCTTCTTTGCAGCAGAAATAATTTCAGTACAGTGGGAGGTTGCTAATATGTGTGGTTTTTGCATGAAGCCTAACACTTCCAACACAGGTATCTACATATCAATAGATACATAAGAAAAGATTGGGGTGAGTAGCTTGAAGCTGTATGCTTTTAACGATGATATTCACAGAAGAAAGATATAGGTTGGCAGAGTAAAATAAGTGAAAAGACAGAGTCAGAGTGTCCAGCGTAGGAAGGATTTAAAGGTATAAAAATTGCTTCAAAGGTCTCATCTTTGAGAGTTTAAGCTGAGTACCAGGCACAGCAGGAGGCTGACAAGAGGAAAATGGAGACAGTGGTAAGGAGAAAGGATCTCCCATTGTTGTTACGTAACAGCTCTTCAAAATCTGACACTGGATTGCACACACTGAATTTTCACAACATGATCTTTCACCCTCTCAGGATTCATTAAAACAACCTTAAGTTCCCTGATGCGTAGGGTCAACCTAACTGCGATGATAAAGGCTGTGCTATTAATCAGGCCGTTTCAGCTCAGAAATTAATCAGAAATTACCCTTTTACCTCAGATTGTAAGAGACAAAATAAAGCCAGCCCTTTAGAAAAATGAATTTGTGTAAGTGCTTCCCAAGGCAGGTAATTACAGGACAGCAATTAGGCTGTGCACAGATGACAAGCACAATCTATGTGGTTCTGAGTGAAGAACAATCACTGATCAGGTATTAAACTGGTTTCCTAAGACATCATCAGTATTTCATTTTCCAGTTGATTCCCTGCCTCTTAAAATAAATATTGATAAAAGTCTTTTTACAAACTACCCCAGAGCCAATGGAGCAGGAACCTAAACATTCTTATAGAACAACTTTGTCTGCTATGATTATCTTTGGAGCATTATAGGGGTATGCAAACTGCACACCACTTCCATGTCAAACGCTGTTCGGATCATCTGTATGGAAGGCATTCTTATTTTATAAAACACCTTTTTTATCTTGTTGGATGTTATTCTCACTGTAAAAAGCAATAGGAAAAATCACAGGTATAGCATTTATGGATTGTTTGTTGTATAATTAAAGCTGAATATTCCTCCTTAGAGAAAGTCCAGAAGGAGCTGGATGCTGTTCTGGGTTGTTCCCATTTAATTTGCTATGAGGACAGAAAAAAGTTGCCCTATACAAACGCTGTAATTCACGAGATCCAGCGATACAGTAACATCGTCTTGATTGCACTTCCCAGACAGAGCGTGAAGGACACACAGCTGCTGGGATTTCCCGTTCCAAAGGTACAAATATGCTGCGTATCTGCATATCTGATGTCTGGTACACTTGTAACGGTTTTGAAAACTCATTTATCGTGACTTTTGAACCATTGAAGCCACCAATGATTCTCAAAACATTGTCCTTTCTCAGCTTCTTTTCATTTAGTTGTTCATTTCGTTGAAAAGCAACTGTGGCTGAGGGCTCCTGATATTAGTGGGTGTTAGGTGCCGTAGGTGCGTTTGGAAAGGCTTCTGAGGGCTTTCCTGACTAGTGACACCAACCAGTGTCCTGTCTGCTCCAGCAGTGCCCCGGCGCTACGGCTGTCTCTAGGGCTGGCCTTTGACCCGGTGTCGTGGTTTGTGTGCGCTCTGTCCTAGCTGTTGGTAGGGTCTCAGGCTGCTATTTCTGCTGAATGGTGGCTGGACATAAATATATCGATTCCCAGCAATATCTCAGCCCTGTGCTTTGTCGAAACAGCTTCTCAGCCTGTGAACAGAGGCCATCAAAAAATGGAGAAAAAGGTTTTACTGAAACAGTTGGAAATTTGTAACTCTTTTCCTATCACAAGCTTTTAAATGCAGTATTTTGCAAATGTTGTAATAAATGTTATAATAAAGCTTGAAAATGTATTTTCAAGTTTTGTAATGGAAAGGTACATGAGGGCTTGTTTCTAAATATTCTCCCATCACTGCTTTTCATGTAGTTTCATTTTCATTTCTTTTTTCCTGAATTTGCTCAAAGCAACTCTGGTATTGCAGAAATTATAGAGTAACAGAGGGAAAGATGAAACTGATGCTCATGATATTCTGTAACTCGAAAGCTGAGTAAGTAATAAAAATACTTAGCGAGAATAGGAAGAATAAAAGCAACACATTTTAACAATATGAACATTATAAAATCCTAACCATTTATGGTTTTGAACTTACTGACAGCGAGTAATGAAGGAAAGGAAGTTGCAACATTCTCAAAAGTTTAAACTCCTTATGAAAAGCTTTAAAGCTTGATCTCATTTTTGAAAAAAGGAGACTTTAAAAAGGGACTTGAAATTCTTTGCTCCTTCGTCATTATTTGCTTACCTGATGAATATGAACAATAGAACAGAACCGAAGCTGCTGCTCCTTTTTTTCAGAACACCACGATTTTATCAAATATTGACTCTGTTCTGTCTGATCCTGGAAAATGGGAGACACCTGATGAGTTCAACCCAGGCCACTTTCTGGATAAAGATGGAAACTTTGTAAACAGAGAAGCATTTTTACCGTTTTCAATAGGTATGTGCACTGAACAGGGATTGTATTTACTCCATGTGAGAGCAACTTAAGGTCCGTTTATTCCCCAGCATAACTGGGAAGGCATCTACAAATAGGTGTATAAACACATCCCGCTGTCCCAGAGTTCTCCAGGAAGAGAGAAGTCCAAATGTATGTTGAAAAGACAGGAAGAGAAGGAATGAGGCATAGAAAAGTTTCTCTTGGAAGACAGATCCAGGTTCTCTTGGAGGAGAGGTCTGGATCTCCAAACAGTAGCAGCAAAATGCATAATGCTAGAACGACGGTAAATATAAGCTGTGCAACCCTGGTGATCCTTTCTCTAATGTCTTGCTGCCTGCTGTAAATGTAGATTAAAGCTTTTGGTGGCAATACCACCAGCCTTCCAGTTCCAGATCAGTGAAGTGAAACCGAGCCGGTTAAGAAAAAAGGACCAAGACTGTAGAAAACAAGTAAAGAAACAAAAACCCCCGAGCAGATCAGAAAGGGAGGTGTGATGGAGACCCTTTGGCTGATTGCCTTTTCTCTCCTTCCGCAGGGCACCGCGTGTGTATGGGAGAGCTGTTGGCAAGGGTTGAGCTCTTCATTGTCTTCTCCACGCTGCTGCAGGCCTTCACGTTCACCCTGCCAGAGGGAGCCAAGGAAGTCAATACGAAGTTTGTTTTTGGGAGCACAATGAAGCCACCTCCCTATCAGCTCTGTGCCATTCCTCGGTAGGAAACGGTGTCCCACAGGTTCAGCGGAGACTTACTCTGCAAGATTGTTTCTGCATGGGAATTCCTTTTTGCGCGTCTTAAGGTTTCGACTTTTCTCTTGATTTGGTTAATCGCAACCCTGAAAGATGCTTTTCAGATAGTTGTATCCTGAGGATTGTACCGACAAAGAGTTATTGTTTTGTTTTCTGTTTGGAAAATCTTGGTAAATTTCTCCTAAAGCATAACAAATAAAGACATTAAGGGAAGAATCAGAACTAGGCTGTATTTATTGCTGGCTGGAAAGAGGATTTACAGAGGACAAACCTGAAGCCAAGTCTATAAATTGGAGGTCTGATGGTTAAAGATCTGCGTGTTCTTTCTCCTAAGCCGCAGTTGCATTTGTGGAGAGATAGGCTTACAGGTCTTCCAGCGTGTCCCAGGATATCAGTGGGTGCAGGAGTTAAAAGAAGCTCCTGGGGGAAGCTTTCTGGAGAGGCAGATAGTACAATGGGAGATGACATTCCCTGAGACTGACCAGATTTGTTGTTGATGGGTAAGCTTGTTGTAGAGAACTCTATCACTAACACCAGTTCAGGGTTTCACCCACCAAAACAGGCAGCATTTCAGCCTTTCAGATGAAAACAGAGGAGTGGTTTCATCAGCCACTCAGGTGTGGGGAGTTTTTCCTAATGCGGGAAAGGAGCAAGGACTGGAAGACGGGTGATAAGTGGGAGCGGACACCAAGTGTTGATAGATTGGTTGACAGTAAGATGAGAACATGTCTTTTCCATGGCAGGGAGTCTTCTGGCGCTGTTTGCTCCAGATCCTCCAATCATTTATTCATCTTCATTTATTCTTTCGGTTCTTTAATGGATATTTTATCACAGTAAGCTGACTTCACATCGGTCAGCATAAATTAGCACGTCACGGCCAACCATTTGTCACCACTGAAGAATCCTGGAAGCCCTCTATGACCGTGGTGCTTAAGGACTTGGCAGAAGTGGGTATTTAACATTCTGCTAGTTTGGTAGCTGACAGTTAACAAGGGAATTTTTTTTGACAGCACTGGGAGTACGTTATTCCTGTATGACGTGCAAAGTACATACGAAGGGTTATTTCTATACACTGATTAGCTGACAGGGCTGCCTGTGGGACTCAGGTTATTATCAACTGTATTTGTTTCAGGTACCTCTGCCAACCTTCTATTTCAAAACGCCTCGGTCTAACAGGCAGAGATACATGAAATCAGTAATCTGCATACAGGATGAAAACGGGGTTGCCAGTTTCATCCCCTCCAGGATTACCTTTGTGGGATGGTTCAACCCTTTTCACTGCTGTGGGCCGAGGGGCAGCATGTCCAGACCGGTGGGTGATTGGTGTGAAGTCCCCTCCATGCTGGAACTGAAGACATCCCCCTGGCAGTAGCTCCACACAGGTAAAGGAGTGCTTCATTTTTATCCGTGTGGATAGCAGGAGGGGCAAGGACAGCAGCACCACCTTGCCTTTTGCACTAAAGTTAAAAATCACTGATCCTAAAGAATAGCTGGTAGATAGCACCGAGAAAATGTTGCTGCTGGCTGTATTTAGTAATTATGAAGAAAATGGAACCTAGGCAACCTCATAAATACATCTTCCATCAAATAAAGTCAGATGAATGCCATGCCTCAGATCTAAACCCACCCACAGTCATCTTCCTTCCCCAGTGTGAGAGGACCGTGCTGCAGGCTCACTCCAGCTGCACCGCTGAGCTCTAAGACAAGTAAGGTTGAAGCTATCAAGTGTCAGCAAATGAGTTTTTGCCCATCTGTGCAATACCCTGGTTCCCTCCAGAGCCTTGTCTTCTTCCCCAGGTTTGTCTCATTCCGTTACCTTTACATCTGTACCACCTTTCCAAACTACCTTCTTTTCTCACTTATTCTCATTTTTTTGCACTTGATTTTTGTTCTTGAGTCAAGGCTGAACCCGGACTCTTCTTCAACCAGAAGATGTCATTCAGTTTCACAAGTTAATAGAGAGAATAAGGTCACCCCCCCTGTTCTAGAAGGACTGTTACAAGTGGCTAAAAGTAGTTTTCAGCCCAGCCTCTAGATAAGTTATGAGGGGTCATTTGAGAATTAATGAGATTTTCTTTTCAGATTCTTTTTAATATGCCTTGGACGTTTGAGTCTTAAGGATCTTAGCAGGTTACAAAATATTCCTAGGTAATTTAGTGTCACCTAATATGAGATAAAAACATATCTGCATATTTTTACACCGGAGTAAAAATATGTGGCTTTCCAGGGAAAACTACATGAGTCAAATTAAATGCAAACATTTCAGAGCATGAAATTCAGCTTTGAATGTGCCCGCTATGTGAGCTCCAAAGGAAGAGTTCCAAAGGAAGAGCTCCAAAGGAAGCTCTGCTCCCCTTGTAGAAGGGAGAGGAGAGGGTGAAATGCCTCCTTATGGAGGACAGTGTGAAATAACACTGTTCCAGCCCTCTTCATGCCTTTTCTAGGGCTAAGAGACAAATCCATGAAACTATAATCATTTTCCTGGGGCACTCCCTTTCAGTGCCACTGCCCCCATTGTGTTTTCTGGTACCTGCTGAAGGAGAAGCAGCCAACTGAGCTCACTATGAAACCCACGGTGGCTTCATCTTTCTGCCTTCCGGAGCTGATGCACAGAGCAGAGAGGGACTAACAGCTTAAGGTGACTGCACCCTCTGCTTTTCCTGTAAGTAATGTGAGTTTCTGGGAGGGGATGCAGTCCCCACCAAGCAAAAAAAGAGGTGCAGGACTGGTGTGGAGCCGACACATAAGGTGGTACTGGCCATCCTATTCCCCGCAGATCACTCTATTCTCCTTTCCTTGCTTCTATCTCAGCTTCAAAATGCACTCCAGGTGTTCTCTTGCCTGGTCTGCCTTCCTGCTTTCAGTTTTTGCTCCTGGTTTGGCTGTAATTGGCTTCGCTCTTGGCCACAAAGGCTGGTGTGAAATAAGCTTTCAGAGGGCCACGCACCCTCTGTGTATGCGGTAATCAGTCCAGGTGGGGCTGAAGTACCCTGTGATCATTCCTGAAGATGTATGAAATTGGCACATGCAACAACAGGATCTCTTCACTGTTTGCCTTCAGAGGGAGCTCTAGCCAGTTTCTTTCAACTGGTAGAAAACTCAGCTCTGAACCGATGCACAAGAAGGCTCTTAAGAGAGGACGAACACGTCCTTACCCTCTCCTGTCTCCTAATGTAGCTGCGTGCTGGTTCAGCCCCTTGCTGTTTAATGTGCATTTTTACACCTGTGTTTTCAACTCCTCTGCACACCCCTCCATTCATTTTCTTCCTTTTACAATGCCCTCCATCTCCCAGTTATTCTTTGGATATCTTCTAGGCCCGTGCTGTCGGCTGTTCCTTCTTACGCTTTCCTCACCGAAATGCCTCCACTTACGCTTCTCATCTCGCCTCCCTCCCACCTGTTGTAACATATATTACCAGATGTTCCTCCTTCTACTGTCTTCCATCTGCTTTCCGATTCTCTCTTGTATCCATCCTCTTTCTGGTTTTACTCCCTTTC